TACCACAGTCTTGTTCTAGATGTTCCAGTATAGCTTCCTCAGTTTCAACAGTTCGGACATTACGCCTTATTCCGGCACCCTCATGATTGGGCTGAATTTTACCAGTTTCGCGAAGCCCTCTTTCCACCGAGGCCAATGTTTGTCTATCGGTCGGTTTGGATATCTTTGGTGGTATAATCTTACTGCAGCGTTACTATTTTTTCTGTATTCGAAAAACACTTGGAGCATGTCGACATATTCGTCATTGGTATAAATATTATTTGCCATAATTATTCTGATAATAAATTAATCAATTGGTACTAATTACTGGTTGACAGAAAGTGTCAATTTATTAATATGATAAATAACAATTTATTTGTTATGACATCCGCCTACTTTATTTTTATAAATTTTCGCAATAACCCTTTAGTGAACGATGACGCATCTAATTTTTTTTACTAGAAAACTGCCGGTTTTATCGAAAAATTACAAGAGGTAAAAAAGTTGCGCAATAAATCAGTCTTCCCAATAAATATTTTTAAATAAATAATTTGCTTCATATAAAAAATTTCTAATAAAATATTGCAATGAGGTTGACTGTTTCACTCCTTTATAAAATACGCCAATGATCGAAAATAGTTATTTTCTACAAACGTCAAAAAATGACAAGGTTTGCGCATTGACAACAATATGCGAAGTGACACTTTTTTTCGGATTCTTACGTTACCATGACAGGCGAAGTATTTCGCACACTGCATGTAAATTAATAAGAGTTTTGTATTTCAATCTTTGAAAAAATGAAGCAAAACTCCAAATTATTATTTATTTTTAAATGAATAACAATTAAATACTTTTAAAATAATGATAGAATTTTACAATAACTTTAGTTATTATTTACAATATTAACATTAATCGTACAACCAGTACACGAACCAATATTTATTCCTAAACCAGATAATTCAGGTTCAGCTCGGGATATTGGGGTTTTGGGGGTTGAAACACTACTAATTTTTGAGGTAGAGGTGATACCATGTGATCCTGAAATTTCACAATCTAAAATTTTATTTGATATTTGAATCTTATTATTGATAGAATCTTCCACGTATCCTTCGGCCACGGTGGAAGATTTCCATCCCCCGTGTCTCTTCAAACTACATATATCACCCCCAGCATTAGCAAGAAGTGTGGCCGAGGTTCTCCGAAAACAGTGACCTGTGTAAGCATCAGAATTTGGTAATTTTAAGTATTTTGCTATTAAGCTGGGCATCCCTCCAATAGAATTTATTCCAACAACTTGGTTAATGCATCTCTTATTTTGATACTTCAAAAACAATCGGCGACTGCTAGCATAACTTGGACGAAGAGCCACGTATTTTCGGTAAATATCGATATAATCTAGATTCGAAACCGTAAAAATTCGTTGTATGTTCGTTTTTGTATCCGGTACTTTCACAATCAAGATGGAACCTTTATCTTCTATGTCATCGACACTCATTTTAGTGAGTTCTTCACGGCGGCAAGCACCAGAAATACCCAATATTAAAACGACCTAAAAGGATATCGATATTTAGTAATTTAAAATACATATAAAACAATGATTAAAAATATACCTTAGCCATCAAATATATTTCATCATCTGCCTCTCTTATGAATTGATTTACTTCTTCTCGAGTTAATACCTTGGATTTCTTAGGGTTGTGTCCAACTGACAATTTTTTCAAATATGGAACCA